TTTTTATATATATTTAGAATATAGAACTACTTAACTGATAAAAATTTTATATAATATTATTTATATAAATCGTAGATCAAAAGTTTGAAACAATTAAGTAAAAAAGAAGAGAAAACAAAAAAAAGCAAGAATGAACAGAAGACTTAAATACCTATTTTGGTCAAAACAGTTGACCAAAAAAAACATATTCGACAGCATCATTGTCGCATAAGATTAATTGTCGATGATAATCGATTTCTGGTTCATAATCGACAGATAATTTATTCGACCAATATTCTGTCGAATATGTAGTTTTTATTCGACAGCCAAATGGCTGTTGAATATATATAATCGACAGCCAAACAGGCTGTCGATTATGTCTTTATATATTCGACAGCAATGCTGTCGAATATATGAGAAACGTCGTCGTTTCTCGTGTATATTCGACAGCAATGTATATTCGACAGCATTGCTGTCGAATATACTCGATTTTAACCCCTCCTCCGCCCGTCTTTCCCCCATTTTCTTCTTCTTCCCCTGCGGCTAATCTGGTTCATTTTCTCCGGCCCTGTTCTTGCCGGTGCTGCCGGATTTTGGCTTCTTGCCATTGACAACCCTGCTGTGTGGCCTCTAAGCCGGTGAGCTAATCACTTCCCACGGCTTTCTCTGCCCAGATCTGCAGCTACTTTTTTTTTTCCTTTGATTTACATTTGGGCATTTGCAGATTTCTTTGTAGATCCGTGCATTTTGGTGCAAGATCCATCACCTCTAAGCCTCCACGCGCCTCCATCCTGCTTTTTGTAAGTTGTAGCACTCTCTGTTTATTTTTTTTTTTCCGTTTTATTTTCGTGTCTTTTTTTATTTTTTTCTTGGATTTTAGTTTACAAAACTTTAATTTCATTTTTTGTATGTCAAAATACAGCTTTCACTGCCTTCATTGCCTCCACAGCATTACGGTCCCTTGACAAAGGTAATTGATATTTTTGTGATTTTTTTATACAAAGTTTTATTGTTTTATTTGTAGATTAGTGTAGATTATTATTATTATTGTATAAATTATCAATAAATTTATCA